TATTTTAATTAAATAATTATAAATATTAAATTAATTTAAAAATTAATGTGTATGATTTATATTAATAAAATAGAGAAATGATACACTTACCCTTCAAACCAACCACCCACCTTACACGCTTGTAGTTCAAATGTTAAAATATAATATTTTCTTATTAAAGGCTTATCCCTCGCTTGTCCATAGCAACCCCTATTAAATGTGATACCTAATATTAAAATTTATCTAGATTCCATTCATTTTCCTTGTTTCCCCTCTTTCTTTCTCTTTCTCCATCACCATTTTTCCACCCATCTCTTCCCATATCTCCTCTTACGAGTTCTCCACCATGTAGATTGGTGTAGCTTTTCTCTTCACATAGCATTGGTTCTTTAATTTTTGGGGTTCTCTTGGAGAACCTAGATTTGGGTTCTCCTTCAACAGATCAAGGAGGGGGGAAGAGAAGGAAGAAGATGGGAGGAGAGGGAAGGAAGAAGAAAAAGAAAGGAGGAGGAGGGAAAAGAAAGAAGAAGGTTGAAAATTAAAGAACTAATGCTGTGTGAAGTGGAAAGCTACACAAATCTACATGGTGGAGAACTCGTAAGAGGAGATATGGGAAGAGATGGGTGGAAAAATGGTGATGGAGAAAGAGAAAGAAACAGGGGAAACAAGGAAAATGAATGGAATCTAGATAAATTTTAATATCAGGTATCACATTCAATAGGCTTGCTATGGACAAGCGAGGGATAGATCTAGGTTTTCTTAGAGAAGTCATGGGTTCTCAAACTTGGAGGAGGATGTCAGAGAAGAGAGAAAGAAAAAAAAAAAAAAAAAAGAGGAAGAAGGAAAGAAGAAGAAGATAATAAATTTTTATAAATTTTTGTTAGAATTTTTACAAATTTAATAATATGGTGTGTTGTTTGGTTATTAAAAAAATTGGAGGTGAAAAGAAAATTTTCTTAGTAAAATATGTTTGGTTCTTAAAAAAATCTAGGTTAACAAGAGAAACTTTCATTGTTGTTGAAAAATTTATATAAACTGAAGAAGATAAACAGGAGTAGAAGATCAACATGAAAGAAAATGGCACAATTTTTCACTTTTTTTATGACTTATTTAATAATTGTTTTTTAGCATTTCACTTACCATTGTCAGTTTTAGTTCATGTCTTAAATTCATAGGTGATGTTGCAAAATAAATGGGAGTGGTAACAAGCAAGTGCTGGAGCGAGTGCTCTTAGCATTGCTTTTTTGTTTAATAACTACTGTAATTAATATGTTTGATAATAGAAATAAAAGAGTGTTTTATGTTTCGCAATTAATTTAAGTTGTTTGAGAATAATTTAAAATCGAAAAATATTAATTTTATAAGTGGTGTGTAGTGGAAAGTGCCAATCTGCAAGGGTAGTGCACCTAACAATGTCTAATAAAATATTAAATTTAACAATTAGTTTTTGAAAATACTTATTAGAGAT